TGAAAAGAAAATTTGAGACAAATTTTTTTTTTAGATTAATAGACTCCCTTTTTAAAGCTGAATTGAATGGTGGCGGGTTTTTTAAAATCCAATGTGTGGATCACATAATATTTCAAAAATTTTAACTTTTGAGTATAGATGATCCGTATTGTAGCTTCTATCAAATGTGGTAAAAGTCCATTTCATGAATTTAAATCAGAAATCTCATATCAAATATTCCTATGGATTTCAAGCATCAAGAATACCTCTATAAATAATAATATTTGTCTTTTTACCAGAAATAAATTTAAAGATGTTACTGGTTCAAACCAATATAAAAAGCTAGCAATTAAAAAATTCTAGAAGGGCACGGTGTGATAAACTATTAATATCACAATCACATTACAGTTGTGCCATTTAGTAAATTTATCACTTTGTACCACAGAAATTGTTTTTGTTTGCAGTAAATATATATAGTGTATAAATAATATGTATGTATGTATGTAAGGTGGTTGGTACACGCAAAAATCCAAAATCATCAATAAAGAATACGAAAAAGACTATTTAGTAATACTAAGTCAGGTATTAAGAAGAAAGTGAACTCACACGTTTTTACAATCATATTTTTTATGAATGAAGATTCTAATTTTCCAATTTTAAAATTTCGGTCGTGCTTTCATTTAATTAATTTAAGAAAAAAAATGTTCATTTAAAAATGATTTTCTGCTTGATTAATTATATTAAAGAGAATAATTTTTCTTTTTTAAAAAAAGTACAATGTCACGTCATCAAGACTTGTTTCTTTTTTGAAAAAAAGTTCACAGCATTTCTCATTCTTATCTAATTACACAACCTACCCTCCATACTCAACAGGTTATCAAATCACATAATTCACACATAATCTACATAATCAATATTTCTTTGCCAATTCAAATGAATCTTCATTTATTATTATTATTTACAATATTTCTTTTTTAACCTTATATTAATAATTAATAAGAATTATATAATTTTCTTGTGTACCCAAAAGAAAAATTTAACGTTGGGACAGTTGAAAAAAAAAATTTTTTCACCCTTCCGTTCTCTTCTTCCTTTTCGCTACACTAATACGACCTACCCTTTTATTATTCCTTTTATTCCTCTCTACCTTAGTACTTTTTAATTTCAAAGAATTTTTAAAATTTCCAATTTACAAATTATAAAAACCAAAAAAAAATATTAAAAATAAAAAATATATAAAAAAAAATAAAAAATAAATAGTGTATATATATACTATATTTATTTATACTTATATTTTTTTTATTAATAGCATAAAAAAAAATGGCAAACGATCCTCATACTAACCGTGGTAGTCAAGAACAAGTTGAAAGTAATGGTATAGCTACTACTACTAATCCTAATAGTACTACTACTGTTGCTGCTGTTGCTGCTGCTGTTGCTGCTGCTGGCACTACTAGCACTACCCCAACTTCTCCAACTACTGTCCTTACTTCAACAAACAATGGAACAACCTCGACAACATCTACTACCGCCACCGCTACCGCTATTACTACTACACCGCCCTCTTCTAATCCTTCTTCCATCATTAATGGTCAAGTAACTGCTGTTATCCCCCCCACTGCCAATCCTCAATCACTTTTCAACTCCTCTTTCATAAATATTACTAATAATGATCAAGCAAATCCTGTAGCTGATAAAGGCGATGTTGCTAAAGAAGAGGAGGCTACTAAAGAAGAATTATCCAGAGAAAGTAGTGAAACTAATATTGATATAAGCAAATCAACACTTACACTTAGAGCTTTGGTATCTACTAAAGAAGCTGGTGTTATTATTGGTAAAGCTGGTAAAAATGTTGCTGAACTTAGGGAAGTAACTGGAGTAAAAGCTGGTGTAACAAAAGTTGTTCAAGGCGTTCAAGACAGAGTATTGTCTGTTGTAGGTACACTTGAAGGTGTTGCGAAGGTAATTAATGAATTGATGAGTTGATAATTATGATTTACAAGTAAAATAAATAACAAATAATTTATGTATTAATTATTTATAAATTTATTATATGTATATATATACACATTATTTTATAGGCATATTCATTGATCGCGCAAACACTTCTTGAGAATCCTGTCAATGCTAGTCCTAATTCTACACCTATCACGCCACCACCTAATGCTTACACTTCTGTCCGTCTGCTTATATCCCATAATTTAATGGGTACTATTATTGGTAGACAAGGTCTTAAGATTAAACATATTCAAGATGTCTCCAGTGCTAGAATGGTAGCATCAAAAGAAATGTTACCACAAAGCACAGAAAGAGTTGTTGAAGTTCAAGGAACGGTTGAAGCCATACGTTTAGCAGTTTGGGAAATTGGTAGATGCCTTATTGAAGATAATGAACGTGGTATTGGAACTGTATTATATAATCCTGCCATTAGGGTCACCTCAACTTATCCCCCAATCCGTAGAAATGATTACACCACTCGCACAGGAAATGGGACCGATTTCACTCGTCCACTTAACAACAGAAATAATAGCAATAATAACGATTACCATAACAACATTAACAACAATAATCGTCGTCAATCATCAAGTAACAATCATCATAATAATCATAGCCATAATAACAACAATATTAATTATGATTCTTCCAACGTTAAAACACAAAACATTTCTATTCCTGCTGATATGGTAGGTTGTATTATTGGTAAAGGAGGTTCTAAAATATCTGAGATTCGTAGACTTTCAGGTTCTCGTATTAGTATTGCTAAAACTCCACATGATGAGACCGGGGAACGTATGTTTACGATCCAAGGAAGTGCCGAATCTAATGAGAAGGCTCTCTTTTTATTATACAACCAATTGGAAAACGAAAAGGAACGTAGATTAAATGCTGCCATTAATGGTGGCGATTCAGATGCTTAATTTATTACTAAAATATTAATATTGATAATAATATTCATTATTACTATAATATCATCAATAAAAAATCATCATCATCAATAATAACAATTACAAACGACAAACAATTATAACAACATAATTACAACAACAACAATTATATATATAATTACAAGGACAAAAAAAATAATCTTTATATATAGGTTATTTCTCATATAATATAAATACATATTTACACACGAATATACATTTAAAAAAAACATCAAATTTTGGTTGACAAGCAATCTTGTTTATTCTTCTATTCTTTTACTTTTTTTCTCTCCTAAACAACTCTTTTTTTTCTCTCTCTCTCTGTCTCCTCTAAAACAAATGTATAACTTTCAATTTACCTTAAAACAAAAATATATATCTCTCAATTTACCTTTATTTGCGATCAAATCTTATTTTTCTCTTTAACATCATATCATCTCATCTATATACATAAAAAAAATAATAAAAAAAATTTAATTTATAAAAAAAAATTTATTTTTACTTGCTTTATTTTTTTAATTATAAAAGCATTTTGCCTATCCATCATTAATTTATTAAATTGAATGTTCTTCTACACATGTTCTGTAATGATAATAATCTTATCTGGCCCAATCAATCTTCACATTTAAGAAAAAGTCCAAAAAGAATATTATGGTAATAGTAATAATCAATCATTTTCTTCCCTCAAGAGGAATCCAAAAATTTTTGCCGATCAATGTCATTGTTTTCAACATTTTGAATTGGAATAATATGAAGATTTGATTATAAAAAATAGATCAGAAGAAGCCAAAGTCAAAATCTTGGTGAGAATGGTGAGAGGGAAGATGAGATAATTTAATTTTAAAAAACAATTATCACTTGATAATGATGTATCTTTCTATACATAATAATAATAATCCCAAAACTCTCAACAACCTATAATTTTTGATTCCATACTTTATCTTCATTACCAAATGTTTATGTGTTTAGTTACGATAAATAAAAGGATGTTTAATGCTAATACAAAACAATATTTTTATTAATATAATTGAATCGTTTAATTATAGAAAGTTTCATTTTACATTTAAACATAAGAAATTAGAAAATCCCGATATTAAACTTATCTTAATAATAAAAAATTTTGGCAATAAGAATAATTTTGCGATGCAACAATTATTCTTGCTTTGAATAAGACGTATCCTTTTTACAATATAACAATAGAGCATATAAAATAACACGTGGTTTACCTACCCTTAAATGGCTTAATTAATAATCAATCGATAAAAAAGATAAGAGGATGCAACTCTTTTTTTTTTTTGTTTTTCCCTTATATCAAAGTTTATTTTTTTTCCAAAGATTTCTCTCCACATCTGCATACATGTATGTACACAAATAAAAAGTAATCGTCATGTGTTTATCCCATAATATCATCAAACAAATGATTTACATCAAATTTTTTTTATATTCTTTTTTTTTTTCTTTTTCTTTTTTTTGCAAGTTAGTCAACAACTAATTAATCATTATAAAAAATGTGAATATTATACCACATTAATTAAATAAAAAAAGTTTTTCTGTGGTTTCCATATCACATAAGATAAATAATGTTTGTTAGGCAGAGTATCTGAGAGTCATAACGTTTTCAAAAAAAAAGTTTTATTGTTGTTATATGACTTATTTCACAACTGCCACAGTTTTTTCAATGTGAAAATTTTTTGAAGATCAACACAAAAAATTTCATAATATACATAGATCGACAATACTTTAAGCATGTGAAAAATTAAGGATTAATTATTATTTCTATATTGTATTAAATAAAAATAAACTAAATTTTTTAAAAAAAATCTTTTTGACTCGAACAATTAACAAATAAAGACATTAATAATTCCAACAGATTTCTAATAAAATTCTTTAAATTCGTGCATACATATATATATATATATATACATAGAACACAATATAAGAATGGATAGTGAAAAGGCCGCCGATATTTTACCTGGTAAAGAAGAATCATCGATATTTTTTATATTTTTTTTCACCCTTCCCTAAATATATTTCGTCTAATAATTAAAAAAAACACTAATAATAATAATAGAAATCATTGATGACCTTCTTTCATACGATGAGAGAAGATATAAACATGTACTTGAATCATATTTCACCAAAGATGCACAATTAACACATCCACTTTTAAATGTTGGGGGTACACATAATATTCGTAAAGTATTTAGAGTATGGACATCTTTAAATTCTCAACAACCTGACATTAAAGATTATCCAATCTTTGAGTAAGTCTCTTTATTTTTTTCTAATGCATACATACATACAAACCAATAACGAACATTATTATTTCTTACATATATACATATAAATACTTAGTGGCTACGTTGCTATAATTCATTTGATTCAACATTTACGTCCAAGATTTTTTCCATTTTTTCATTTTGAGATTCCTTCAGTGACTGTGCTCAGACTCCGTGAAGATGAAGATACTGGGTTATTGTATATTTATAAACAAGAGGATAATTGGACACTTGAAGGTCTTATTCAAAGTGTCCCGATTGTTAATTGGTGGTATGAGAAAGTAGTTCGTTACATTATGGGTGAGTTGATTACGAGTGCTGGCGATTTCTTATACACTGCAAATACTGCCACTTCTCGATTAACCGATAGAGCAGGTGAATTCAGAGATACTAGCAATATCGCCATAGAACAAGGTCAAATTAGAGCTAGATCTATGGTTAACGGTTTAAGTGATAGTGTAAGATCTCAATTACAAATTGCTCATGAAGGTGTGCTAAATCAATATCATAAAGTTCGTGGAATTCAAAAAAATGATTATATGATTAAATCAAAAGATGATGATGAGTATGAGGAGGACGACGAGGAGGATTATGAGGAGGAGGAGGATGACGATAACGACGATAATGACGATAATGACGATAATGACGATAATGACGATGATTATTTACAATAAATATAGAATACAAATTAAATTTAATTAATTAATATAATATTCGCTTTTATTATTTTTATTTTTATCTTTATCTTTATTTTCATTTACTTGTAATAAATAAAATAAATTCAACATCCTCAAAATATAACAGGGCCCCGAAATTGGGTGACCATTTTTAATTAATATTAATATATTAAATTAATATCTCAATTTTTTCATTATTAATTAAAAAATGTCAAGTATTGAGAAAATCAAAAAAGAAATCGAAAGTTTGGCAGCTCAATGTATCAAGGTAAATTTTTTACCAATAAATTTGAAAAAATTCAACGTTTACCTATTACTTTTTAAAAAAAGTTTTTAAATAAAGATAATAATAATAATAAAACATATTTAAATAAAAGAATGTAAAGCAAGATCCATCAAACTCTGAACCTTGTATTCTGTTCGCCTCACTTCTAACTGACAATTTATCTGATACAACTAAATATTCCGTTAAAGAACAATCTGAATTACTTGATCATATAAAAAATCTAATTATTCCATTAGATGATGGAAATGGAAACCATGAAAAAGTAAATTATTTTGATTTTTTTTTAAAAAAAAGAATATTATTTTACAAATTAAAAATAGGCCGTTATCATCATCATCATCATTAATAGTGTTAAGATTGGTAGATTATAAATCCTTCAAATGAATAATAGTAATGATATTATTATTATTATTATTAGATTGAACTCCTTAAGAATATTTCCTGGGATCTTTTTACATTAATAGCGCCATATTTATCACTTGATCAATCAGATATTACTGACATCAGATTTATAATATCACAAGAAATTATTAATAGCATTGCTCAATATAACAATCCTCGAGAAACCCATTTATTGATTTTAGAAAGATTTAGTTGGTTTGATTGGAATGCCAATGGTGATAATAATAGCAATAATAAAAAACAACAAATCGCCTTGGAATTTATAGGATTGGCCAAAGCTTTAGGAATTGGTAAAACTTTTTTTGTTCCACAATCATAACCATAACCATAACCATAACCATAACCACAATCATAATCATCACCATATATTTTATAATTATCCATTAGTACTTGATAAATTAGATAGAAAAAATATTATAAAATTTTTACCAGATACTATTAGTAATTTTGCCAAAATATGGAGAATAATAATACCTGAATTAAATGATGATAATAAGATAAATGACTCTTTAATTGAAAATTGTATCAAACTCACTGAATCAATATCCAGATTTGTTGATTCAAATAACAAAGTATATTATTTATTTGATTTTATTTGATTTAACAATTAAATTTATTATTATTATTATTGATATATTTTTTTTATAAATAAATAAATTATAGGATTTAAAGCTTACTTCAACACCAAAAGATTTATCAAATCAAGAATATTATTTAATTAATTATATTTTGATGATTGCTTTTGAAAATTTCATCATTTATTCCACTCATATACCAATGTCATCTACTTATTATGAAATGTTTCATCCTAAATATAACATTCCATGGAAAAGTAGGCAAAGTGAAAAAATCAAGTCTATTGATAAAATTAGATTGAGCAGATTATTGGTAATAAGTGATATAAAATATTTTATGATTGATTTAATTAATTAATTAATTTATCAAAAAAAAAATTTTTTTTTTAAAGGATGCATCTTTTAAAGCAAATATTTCAATTGATAATTTAGTCAATTACTTCAATAATTCAACAGGTACCCATAATTATTTTTATATAATAGTTTTAAATTTTAGGTTAAAGCAAACTTTAATAATTAATTACATATTTGTAGGCAGTAGTGAGAAATATAAAGATGTTAATGATGATGACAATGAAGGATTTTCCACAAAGGATTTTCCAATATCGAAAGAAGGAACAATATTATATTTGGCATCAATAATTTTCTATAAATTTATGCCTCTAGATGATGATAATGATAAAAACAAACCCAAGAAAAAAGAAATACCAATAGCTCCTGAATGGTTATTCAAAAAAATTTGTCCTTTGATTATATCTTCTTTAACAAGGTAAAAAAAAGAAAAATTATATATTAATAAATTTTTGTGAAAACAAGATATTATCGATCTTTTTAATTTTATTATTCTTATTATTATTTATGGTGATGGTAATGATTTAGTGACGAAAATAAATCAGGAATGGCAGATAAAATTCTATTAATACTTATTTATTTGAGTGAAAGAAATGAAGAAAATATGTTTACTATTGGACATTTGGAAGCAAAATTGGCAAAAGATGGGAGTAATTTATTTATGGTTTTTCAAGTATGTTATTTTATAATTATAATTATATATACTTGCACTCACATATATTTATTAATTAAATGATATTGATTAATCGATTATTGATTTTATAGTCTGTTGTTTCTTTTGCTTCAACTTCACCAAACGAATCATTAAGATTCATTGCACATCAACTAATAATTTCTCTGATTGGTTTATGTAAAGAGGATGCAAAAATGTATTTATTAAACGAATTATTGGTGAATTGTCCATTTGAATCAATGAAAAGTGCTGCAATATGGATGATTAAAGAAATTGTGGCAAAGAATTTGGATAAAGCTTATAATAAAGAAAATATTTCAAGAGACGAGAATGAGAAGGAATTTTATTCGATATTTTCTAGCAAGTTAATTGTTGAAGGGTTTTTTCAAAATATCTTTTTTTTTAAATTCAATGATTTAGAAAACGAATCAGACTTTTTTGATAAACGTAGTTTTATCATGAATGGTCTAAATTTCTTATTATTTTTACTAATTAGAGATAAAAACAATTTGGTAAATTTTATTTTTCCTTTTCTTCACTCTAAAAACTAGAGAAACGTAATAATTATATTTTCTTGATTATGCATAGACTGGTGTCTGGGATTCTAACCTAATAGATAAAATAAGTAAAGAATATTTGCAACCAATCGAGAATAAGTGTAAATCATTGGAAATCAATTATCAAAAAAGATCTAATGAATTAAATGAAATTCTAAAAGGTATGAATATACATATAATGATGATGATAATTATGATGATGATGATGATAACAATACCTATATTATAATAATACAGATAAACATCAAAATGGTGATTATGAAAATGACGAAAATAAAATAAATCAAAAAGGAGATTCTTCAGTGATAGAAATAGGTTTAAAAATCGATGAAATAACTAATTTAAATCCATTACAAGAATATCAGGTAATCAAACAAACAAACAAACAATTTCAATTGATTAATTATAGGGAATTTATTTTTCCAACACCTTCCAAGACATTAGTTAATACAATGTTTTTACCCCTGCTTTTTTAGTTATTGAGCCAGAAGTTATTTGATTTATATCTATTAGAAGATAAAACCAAGAGAATACAAGAAATATTGAGTAACAAAAATTCTATTTAATTCTTAAAACAAAAACTATTATTGTTATTATTTGTACAGTGCATGTCACAATAGATCTAGACCGAGTTTATAACGTTTTAAAGATATTATTATATGGGCCATGTTGCAACACATTTGTACTACTACCCAATGATTTCAGGGTTCAAATGAATTTGACAAAAGAAATTAAAAAAAGAATTTATGTACATTTAACATTCTTTCAAATCAGTTTCAAGAATAAGAGCAAAAAAAATTGTATATAGGTAAATAAAATTCAAATAATCAAAAATCATAGTCATAACTTTCGTTGATATTTAAAAATTGTAAAAGAATAATCTATTAATTAAAAAATAAAACTTCAAATTATCTTTTTCAATAACTCCACTATAAATAAATATAATTTTTCCTATAAAAACTATTTAACAAAAATGCTTACCTTCCTTCATCACTGAATTTATTTGTGACTTATTGATTGGACTTTTTCTCAATTATAAAAATTACAACCAGCTCTGGAATTTAATTATCATCCACAAAAAATATCCGCAATCGCCAAATCGATTTCTAAATAAGGATAACACGCACCCAACCCACCAATAAAAATTGGATATTCTGAGGTTTCACGAAATTTGCGGATATTTTTTGTGGATAACTACACGATTATTGGAATATAAGTCAAAAAATTGATAAAATAGTTAATGAAATAGAGCTCTTAGAAAAACATAGATTAAGTAAAGCGGTCGGTGAAAAGAAATACCTAAAAGAAATTGAGATTTTATGGAGGGATTTATATTTTTTAAAAATTCATAAAAAATTTTTCTCAAAAAATTTTTTGTTTCCTCCCACAAACAATTCTTCATTCCACTAATATATAAATTTCTTTGAGAAACTTTTCAGTCACCACAAAAATGAACAACAACAACAACAATAATAAAAGACAAGCCAAAGTATCTGACCATGTGAACAAGATGGTTAAGAGCTTAGGTTCGTTTAATTTTTCCTCCTCCTCTTCCTCCTCCTCCACCACTCCAGGGTCATCAATCATCAAAAGCGAGCTGACTTCAAAGGGTTTAATTAAACCTATCCTAATCAGCTTCCACAATCATATTGTATCGATGACTAAACAGATTTCGGCGTTAAAAACCAAAATCGCAAAAACGAAAGATAGAAAACCAGGTTTCTATCATTCTACAACTTTCCATAACATCAAACGCATGACCAAGGACTGTGTAGACAGCCTTGAACAAAGTATGCACGATGGCATAGTAAAATATGTCTTGGAAAAGTTAAATAACAGTCTAAATGAGTTTCAAAACCGAATGAGTGAAGAAGCTTTGACCTCAAAAATTAAGAAAAATTGCTCTAGATTCTAATGACTGTTCCCATCTTTATTGATAAAAATAGAGATACAATGTACAAGGATTGCGTGCTGCAAATCCAAAATTCTTTGGCTTGGGTAAATAATAATGTTGTTGGTTATAATTCTAATAAGAATAATAATACTAATCAATCCCTTCATATAGGCATCCACAAGTCACATAGTGATGGAGACAGCAAGGAGGGAAAAAAGAACTTATTCAGGGATAGCAATAGACGAAATAATCATTTCGAAGTCTCACCCAAAGAAACAAAAAATACAACAACAACAACAAAAAAACAAAAAACCCACCGTCGGCCTAAAAAGAGAACCCAACAAAGGGAAAGGCAAGACAACAAAGAGGTATTTGTTAACAATATCTCCTGTATTATCTGGAGCATATGGTTTTACAAATGTTGAGATAAAGGAAACTTATTAAATAAACTTGGTAATAAACAAGAAGTGTTGTCCAACCTTCAGGAAAAATACAATGGTTATGTAAACGTTCAAATAATTATCACAATTATTTACAAACGTTTAGATATTATTTAACACTGTTAATGAACTGATAATTTTATTGTTGTAAAATTATATAAAAATTATCTTTATTTGTTTGAATTTTACATCTTTAAATAATAAAAATACAGTTCTTAAAATACAAATATAAATCATAAGAAAATAAATAAATATATAATCTATATATTGTATGGAAGCTTATAGACTTCCCGGAAAGTATTGATCATAATTAAAGATAACTTCTTAATTATAAATAATATAAATAAAAATAATAATATGATTATATTCCCCACAATATAACATAACAATATAATATCCACTTTTCTTAATAAAAATAATAATGATAATAATAATAATAATAATAATATGTATAATTCTTCACCAAAAATCCCGATTGCCAAGTACTTAAATTAAACCATAAAAAAAATATGAATTCCTCTTACCAAATATGGTAATAAAATTAAATGCTGCTGTTACAAAAAATTTACAATGAGAATTTGGATAAAGTGTAAAAGAATAATGGTAAATATTAATCATCATCTAATTCATTTGCTGAAATCAAACGATGTGATTTATCATGTAAATAAATCACACCAAATGGCCAAGAAAGTTTTTGATTAAAGCTGCCATCATCATTATGCTCTCTAAAGATAGAATTGGATATGATTTCAAAATCCAGTACACTAAGTGGCAACAACATGTTTGAATTTCTAATTGACAAAATGGGCATTGAAATAATACAGATCAACAATATTGCAAATACTAGAACAGTGACCTCTATCCAAAGTCCTGGAGCTGTTATTATTTCTTTCTTATCAACATCAACACTAACATTGTTCATGATGGATTGTATAGATGATGCTAATGATTGTGATAAGGTATCACCAAACTGATCAAAAAAATTGTAACTGTCATTGCTTCTTTTGAATTTGATATCATTTCTCCATATTGTTAACATTGATGTCAATCTATCTACAGCACTATCAAGAAGACTTTCTCCAAACCACTTTCCATTCAGATTACTGTCTTTCACATTGGTAGAAATCAACTCTTCCAATTTTTGTATGGTGTTATTAAATTGCACCTCTGATATTTTTAGATCATCTGGTGTACTTCCAGATATTTGCATTTGTTTCCATTTCACAATTACATCACATTGCATGGATACTGTGCAAAAACGATTAAAATTTTTATCATGTGAATATCCACTATCAGATAACCACTTTGCCATCTTCATAACATTGAGAGAAAAATCGGGAGAAATATAAAACAAATTCATAGATATATCACATCTATCTGATGTACTGACTCTCAAAAGCATACCATTCACATAAGAAAATAGACCAATACTTTTAGTTGTGGGAGTATTACTACTATAGGTACTAGTAAACATTCCAAGATTTGTGGGCCTATCTGTCACATTCCCCAGATTATCACTACTTACTGCTCCAATTAGATCTCCTATAGTTAAAGTACAAGATCTTGCATCAACTTTGGCACATGCTGCATACAAAGTATTATTTAAACCCCAATAAGTGTTTTGCACATAATTTTTACGCATAATATCTTGCATTGTAGTGGAATTTGCAACCAATGCAAATTTTTCTTCAGTCAAGTCGGAAGTACATGATGTGTAAATACAATTTGAATCATTATTAAAGAATGTAACATTAGAAGACACAATGTTGGTAAAATCATACAATCCAATAATCCCAGATAGCATAATATTTGGTATATTTTTCCCTAATATAATTGCTAGAAATAATAGAAAGATGAATACAATCATACCCTTGGATAATCTTTTATATCTGAGGTATAAATCCATGAAAAGCTTTAAAACAGAGCCATGTGTAGCCTCCATACACACTTTAAAATCACTGCCATTCATTGTTTTTTTAATTCGGTAAATAAATACCCAGACCACAGAGACCAACACTGGAAGTGTTATTGCTTCAAATAGTGAAGTAAGCACTACAATCACCTTTAGCAGACTATTAATAGAAGCAGCATTTTCACCTATCCTTAAAATATGTCTTCCTTGGCCAATAGTCTCAAGTTCCCACATGATTTTAAAATATTTATCAACCTCTCCGAAATGATTTTTAATTATCAAAAGATTAAGAGTTTTATATTATTTGTAATTTAAGGTTTTTGTCGGCAGTAAAATTGCTTTTAGCTGAAGGTTGTAAGGTATTTTAAATGTAAATTTTTTAAAATGGAAAAAGACAAGTTTGAATTGAAAATGATCAATGAAAAGAAGAAAAAAGAAACTTTAATTTAGTGATGTTAGCCGGTAGAAAAACCTTAGCCGGCTTAGGCGGCTTAGCCGGCTAATAATCTGCATACATAAACTCTAAATTTGGTAATAGATTTCCGCGTTATCTTCTGGTTATGGAAATAAAATTACCAATTTAGGTAACAAACGGCTTAGCCGGCTAAGCCGTTTAAAAATTTCTTAGCCGGCTAAGCCGATAAATTTCTTAGCCGGCTAACATCACTACTTTAATTGCTTATATACTATTACCACAATAATTTTTGCGTTTTTTAAGAATGCACGAAGGTTTTCTAAATTTGGGTAAAAGCTCTAATAATTTGATAAATTTATTCCTGGGACAACAACAATATGATGGAAAAATACGTTACAATGATTCTGTCCCTTAAAGTGTATTTGCAACAAATATGTTGCAAATTTATTTCCAATGATGGAACACATGTAGCATGCAATTTTTACACACAACTTTCTAAGTGAAAAATGATTTTTGAGATCACGCCAATAATCATGTATTTTTCTGCAAAAATCATCCACAAATCGCCAAATCAATGTAGATAAGGATAACCCGCCAATAAAATTGTATATTTTCATGATGCTGCGCAAATTTTATCACACCACTATCATAATAAAGAAAAATTGAACGCCACACAATAATTATTGCATAAAAATTTTTTTTAAAGTTACAATAAAATTTTTTATTTGATTGTCTTATATAACAGCTAATTCTCAACTTCCTAATTATAGATTCACGTATGTTGTGCAGGTACTTATTATCGAAACTGAGCAAAGACCTCCATTATCTAATTTTTGGTGTACATAATGTAACGTTCCATTATGTTGTAATAGAAATTGCTTCAAAATTTATCATGAAAAGGAAAT